AGGCGTTGATCAGAAATCACATTTTATTCCACGAAAATCAACCAAATCCACATTAATCTGGGTGCTAACTTTACTAGCATACTGTGCTAGCGATAGCAAGCCGGATGCTAACGCTTTAGTGCTGCTAATGCCCGTAAATCTAAAGTAAAGTTTGTCGACATTTTAGAGTGATATGAAGCTTACCGCTCTGCTGCTGTGTCCCGGTGCTGCCACATTCAGATAAAAATGACTCCTTTTAGATAGATGAAGCCCTCAGTACTTACTAGCCTGAAGACACGAACGAACGAACCACGCGCACGCGCGCGCACACACACACACAAACACACTACTTTTTCTTCTGTGTTTTTTTAGCAGTAGTGTCATCAGCTCCTGGGTTTAAATACTGCCACACCACCCTTCCTTAAAACGAGGAACAGTTTTGAGCTGTGTGTGGCTAAAATAACCAGACATTCTGCATTTTTCCAATAGGACTACAAAAAATCTTAGCGAGAAGAAAAAATGGCGGATTGGCTCTGTGTTTAGCCGAGGGCCATTACCATATTTGGTAGTTATCCTCACTAAATTAATTACTGATGTAATAGATAATGTAAAAACTGAACGGGTGGACAAATATGCCCAAAACTTAATTATTAAATATCTAAATAGCAACTCCAGTGAATAATATAAGCCTTTTTGCTCACTTAGACACTTAAAATGTGAAACACACTGTGTTAATGGATAAAAAAGTGGGTTTTTCATGTTATGTCTCCTTTAAGGCACTTTTCTATGCTCACCCTTTTACTTCAATAAACTTTATTAGCATTTAGTTACCACTGTGACACAGTTGCAGCCACATTGCATTCTTGCTCTGAAAGTCTCCTGTTATATGTATGACCAAACACTCCTCCATGGTCCAGTTTATGACTTTACTCAATGTAAGTCATATCCAATCAGATTGTCTTTACAAACTGCTAAGCTGTGGCCTGGAAAGTCATCCTATATAGTCTGTCTACGGTCCATAGATGAAGCGCAGTTGTCTACTGTTGTCTTTCAAATTGTATCTTTACACTATTGGATAACAAACTACGCAAAGTACTCTCCGCTACAGATGTCAGTCAATGGAGCAGTCCGCCATACACAGGATGACACAAATGCATCATTTAGCTAAATAAAATAGAAGCTGGAATAAGGACAAGCTACTAACCTCACAGCAGCTTCCGATGGCTGCCCCTAAGCTATATCATAAAAGTGTTAGATCTGCCTGGAAGAAATATTTTGCATGCGTAATCTCACAGCACCAGGGTCATCAGCATAAGCTTTATAGCACTGTCAATTCTATTCTGTCAATGACTGAATGGTGTTAACCCCTTTGTGTCTTTGTGTACTAAGCACCAGAGCTTCTTACTTAACAAAGTTCAGGATAGTCTTGTGCAACCAGGATTTGTCGTTCCTGATGTGTCACCTGAACCTCCTTCATTCTCTAGCTTTGCTCATGAGAAATGGGAGTGAATTGGCAGGTCTAATTGGAACTATGACACTGGCAGGCTCGTCTGAGGAACGTCTTTCTCAGAGTATGGTGGGTGATATCATCTCGGCTGTGGGCCCTGCCATTTTGGACATTTTAAATTCTAGCCTGACCACTGGGGTGTTTCCTACGTCTTTTAACCATTTGCAACCAATTTGAACAAAAACCTGGTTTGGACCACTACAACTTTGCAAACCTCTGGTCAGTCCCTAAACTACAGTTTCTGTGTAATGTCCTTTTAAAAGATTGTCTATTCCCAGATCACAGCACATATGGATAGCTTTTTTTTAGTTTATGTGTTCCAGTCTGGCTTTAGGCCACTTCATAGTACTGAGTCAGCCCTTCTTCGCGTGACCATTGACATCCTGGTGGCGTCTGACTCTGGGTCTCCTGTTCTGCTACTTCTATTGGATCTTTGCACAGCATTTGATAAAGTTGATAGTGGTTTCACTCTTATCTGTGAAACTGAGTTTTTAAGGTTCAGTTCTGTAACTGTTCTCTATGCCTCCCACTCCCCTGAGGTGTGCCGCAGAGATCTGTGCTCGGGCCCCTTCTGTTTTCATTTTACATCCTCCCCTTGGCTTTTATCCTGAGGAAATGTGGTCTGGGCTACCATCTCTATGCAGATGATTGCAAGATCTACCTGGCTTCGAATAAACGAAGTGATCTCTCTCTTCTGGACCAATGCTTGGTTGAAGTGAGGGACTGGCTGGCTGACAATTTTCTGAAGCTGAATGACTTGAAGTCTTAGGCGATCCTCATGGCCCCTAACAACACCACACTCTCACTCTCTGATTTGAACACTGTCTTTATGACCTGAAGCAGTATGTTGCCAACCTGGTGTTGAAACAGGATACCCACTTGTCCATGGCCCCTCAGATTAATGCAGTGGTCAGATCTTGTTTTTTACAGCTGCGTCGACTGGTTCACTTAAAACCGATCCCGAAAAGGGCGCACCTAGAATCTGTAATTCATGCTTTTATCGTCTCCCACCTGTACTGGTGCAACTCCATTGGCAATTCGTAAACTTAAGAGTGAAGTTTAAAATTCTGACCTTTGTTTTTAAGGCCCTGAACGGTCTGGCGCCGGATTACCTGTCTGACCTAGTGACTCGTGTGCCAAACCGGGCGTTGAGATCTGCTGATTGTTTGCTGCTTCACGTTCCCACAATAAAATATAAAACAAGGGGGTAGCATGCTTTTTGTCTATGCTGCTCCGTCCCTCTGGAATGCTCTTCCTCTCTAAGCGAGGTGGGCACCATCCCTACCCCGTTTCAAGTCTTTGCTCAAGGCCCACTTTATGACCTGACATTTTTCAATTCAATTCAAGTTTTATTTGTATAGCTCCGAATCAGGACAAGAGCCGTCTCAAGGGACTTCACATAGTAAACATTCCAATACAGGTCAGTTCATTAAGCCAATCAGTAAAAAGTTCCCTATAAAAGGAACCCAGCAAATTGCATCAAGTTTCTGACAGTGACTTTACAGCAATCCTCATACTAAGCAAGCATGCAGCGACAGTGGAGAGGAAAACTTCCTTTTAACAGGAAGACACCTCCAGAGGATCCTGGCTCATTATAATCAGCCATCCACCATGACTCACTGGGGATCGAGAAGACAGAGCAGACACACACACACACACACACACACACACACACACACACACACACACACACACACACACACACACACACCATATATACCAAATAGTGTTTCTATGGTTACATTATGATTTCTTAGTAAATATTCTATTTAGTGAGAGAAAAACTTTATTGTATTTATCCTAGTGAATCTATAATTAAAGAGTAAACTAGTAGTAGCACGTTCAATGTCAGAGAGAGTAAAATGTTATTATCAGGAGAGGGAGAATGTTTAAGTGGTTAGCATCAGTGTGCTAGACGATGGCCCCCTCCATGGGGCCACCACAGCTCAGCAGAACATCATTGTAGCTTCTTCTGGGGAGAAAAACAGAGAAAAAATAGTTAACAGCTGAAATTGCAGGAAATAATACAGTTAAAGAGCAGATTGTAGAAGAAAGTAGTCGAGTGCGTAAAGTGGTCAGTGTGTCCTCCAGCAGTCTAAGCCTATAGCAGCATAACTAACAGAGATAACTGGATAACCTAGCCTTTTAAATGGAGGCATGTTGGAGGCAGGGCAAGGGAGAGCCGTCTTTACCGACTGTACACTCCACCTCCCTCTACTCCCCCACTTGTCCAGATCTAGGCTAACATCAGATTTTAACCATAGGCCCTATCAAATAAAAATGTTTCAAGCCTAGTCTTAAAAGTAGACCAGGTGTGTGCCTCACGGACTAAGGCTGGGAGTTGGTTCCACAAGAGAGGAGCCTGATAACTAAAGGATCAGCCTCCCATCCTATTTTTAGATATTCTGGGAAACACCAATAAACCTGCAGTCTGAGAACGAAGTGCTCGGTTAAGAACGTATGGAACAATCAGATCACTGATGTATGATGGAGCTTGATTATTAAGAGCTTTATATGTGAGAAGAAGGATCTTAAAATCTATTCTGAATTTAACAGGTAGCCAATGTAGGGAAGCTAAGACAGGAGAGATATGATCTCTCTTTTTAATTCTCATCAGAACTCTAAAGACTTTTAACTACATTCTGTGGACTTCCTGAGAGTAATGAATTACAGTAATTCAGTCTTGATGTAATAAATGCATGAACTAGTTTTTCAGCATCACTCCTGGAAAGGATGCTTCTAGTCTTAGCAATATTCCGAAGGTGGAAAAAGGAAGTCCTACAAACCTGTTTAAATGTGGGATTTGAATGACATGTTCTGGTCAAAGATAACATCAAGGTTCCTTACTTTGTTCTCGGAGACTAATTGTTAAACCCTTGACTTTTTATGAAATATTATGTGTTCTTATTTTTGACCGTGATTATCTGCTTTGTTGTGTATTTTTATTATTGATTGTGCTATTGTTTTTAGATTGTGCTTTACTTTTCATCTGTACAGCACCTTGGTTGGCAGCCATGCTGTTTTAAAATGTGCTTTATGAATAAATTTTGTATGGTATGGTATGGTAAAGTACCTCTATCTGCTCTTGGCTCAAAGGAAAGCTGATGCCAATGCTGTTTAAAACAAGGCGCCGCCATCTTTGCTTTTATTGCTCAGTCGCATCATCCCGTCCACCAAATTGGTAGAGCTCTGTGATTGGTCTGTTGAGACACGTGTTTAGACCAGCATGCAGAGGCAAATCATTTTGCTTCTGCTACTGTCGGTCTAGATTTCTAGGCTAGCTAGCTGGGGGTTAGTTTGTTAGGTCTGATAGCTGTTGGTGTTCACTGTTTTTATTTACTTTAATGTTTTCAGTTTGATTGTAAAACTAATCCAAAGAAGAAATGTTATTAATGTTTTCATTTCACTGTTAATATTACCATATATTAATTTATTGATATTACTAAAAGAAAACTGTTGTGTGTTATCTAACTATGAGCATAATGTGTTCTTTGTCTCCTCTGCTTGCACTCAGTGGCTTAAGGCCAAGGTAAGACATGGCTGTTTGTTTATTTTTGTTTATTGTTAAGCTTTGAGGTCAGAATAGATGTGGTTAAATATTTTAGCTTTACAGCGATAAATGTCCTGTTACCACCTTATTCTGTTTTAATCCAACTGAGGACCACCATCACTCAGTCATCCACGATCCAAACGACAAATCTAGCTCTGTATTTGCCACTAGGAAAAAAACATTTATGTCCTAAAGTCTGATTAATACGTTTTTGCTTCTAGCAACATGGGAACAATGCAGCGGGACGAGGAGGGACCCTTTCTAGGACCAACCCACCTCAGCAGAAACCTCCTAGCCCCCCCATGGCGGGTCGGGGCACATTGGGGTAGGAAGCTGCAGTGAGCATGCTACGACTACGGATGTCCCGATACAACTTTTTCACTTCCAACGCAATACCGATATTGCAGCTTTCAGTATTGATCGATACCGATATCAATCCAATACGATTTCAGCAAAAAGCATACGTACGTTTACCTATTTCGTAGTGTGGAACGTATGAAAGGCTTGATCAAGTGATATTACTCAATCAGAGAACAAATGGTAAATGGCCTGTATTTGATATAGCGCCTTCTAGAGTCCTGGAACCCCCCAAGGCGCTTTACAACACAATCAGTCATTCACCCATTCACGCACACTGGTGGGAATGAGCTACAGTGTAGCTACAGCTGCCCTGGGGCGCACTGACAGAGGCGAGGCTGCCGAGCACTGGCGCCACCGGTCCCTCCGACCACCACAAGCAGGCAACGTGGGTTAAGTGCGTTGCCCAAGGACACAGCGACAGACTGAGCGGGGCTCGAACCTGCAACCTTCCGATTATGGGGCGAGCACTTAACTCCTGTGCCACCGTCGCCCCAATCCAACAAGATCCAATAACATTAATTATGAAAAATCAATGACAATTTTTTTTAACCATGGGTTGCAAAAATGTGAACCTTAACCGACTGCTGATATCGGAGATTTCTGATGCAGGTATCCGATATAATCTGTGTTTTTGGGCCGATATCGAATTACTTTCGATATCAGTATCAGAACGGGCCCTAGTTACAACACTTGAATGTTATTTCTGAGCAACAATTACTCCTCATGTTGCTGCTCAGGTGGAACATTTTCATGATGAACTTCAGACGTCGGCACTGACATGCTTAGTTGACCTGTCGCAGTGCATTATGGTCTATTTTCATACTTTTACGGAGGACACCTTGATGAGATTTTAGAGCAGACTCAACATCATTAAAAGGTGAATAGACCATTTGAACACAGCTCAAAGGTGAATCAGCTGTAGATGTTCTCTCTGAGAGCTTTGTTGCTGCAACTTTTCTGAAACCACTCCTTTCAGTGACGGTTGATATTTATCCCTAATGGAGCTTCTTAAAAATGTTTCATCAGCAAGTGAATTAATTTTGCATTCATGAGTAGGATCATGATCAGGACGGAGATGAATTCTGTTCTTCTTGTCTTCTTGCGATTGTTTGCGATTGTTTGTTTTGCACTATCCTACATGGTACTACTGTAGATCATTTTTTAATGTATATATTGTATATCATATTCTATTTCACCTGTTCCTTTGCCTCTCCGACTGCTTTGAGCATGTACATGACACAAGAATTTCCCTCGGGATAAATAAAGTTGTTCTTATCTTGTCTTCTTGTGCCTGACTCCAGACGTAATACTCCCTACAAGACATTGGAGCCCGTGAAACCTCCGGTGGTGCCCAATGACTACATGACGAGCCCGGCGCGGCTGAGCGGCCAGCACAGCCCTGCACGCACAGCCTCACTCAACCAGAGGCCAAGGACACACAGGTAGCTCACATCATCTCATCTCCTACACAACACACATTACCGGGCCTTTCAACCGGAAATAAAAGTATCGCATAACATCTGCGAAACCTAGTACGCAGCAGTTAGCCACCGTTGTAGAGGAAGGGTGCGTTTCCACTGGCTGCAAAGCCTCGCCTTTTAGAAGCGTAAGTACCCTTTGCTTTGAGTCTTATTTCTTATGCGCTATGCTTCCATAACACATCAATCTCAGCTGTTCAGATCTGGAAACTTTCAAAATAAAAGTCATGCAGATTTCCAGTTGCTTATCTAGTAAAAACATTTTTACATCATTACCTGTTAAACCTCCATCGCTGAGGTAAACTAATCAGAAAATAAACCACAGACCTTTTTGGACACGTGCTGTTGTCTTCCTCTGTGCTTGTTATCACCTGAACCGCAGAAATCACGCGTAGTCTTCCATTCTCCGGTCATTTCATGACTTCGGGGAATCGGTTTTGTTGAATGCTTTCACTGCCATTTTGCATCTGAAATGCTCCTGTTGGACAAGGGGCTCGAGGGTAAAGTGCGTTTATTAAGTGACGCGACGCTTGTACATCCGTTGGAAAGCTGCGGTTGTACAGATGCTGACTGGTTTGCATCTACAGGAGCAAGCAGGATTTAATTAGAGCTGCACAATTGTCGCCTTTGTGAGGCGAAAACAGACAGGATGACATAATAATGACATGCTGTCGTTTAGGGATTGTCTGGTGATCAGCTGGGTGTGCCTTGTGTGTGTTTCTGCAGTGGCAGCAGTGGGGGCAGCGGGGGCAGGGAGAACAGTGGAGGCAGCATAGTGGGGATTCCTATTGCAGTGCCCACCCCGTCTCCTCCCAGCATGGGGCAAGGTGAGTCCCAGACTACCTAGTATCTTGTCTTTATCATACACCTTGATGTCCCCAGACAGGTGTAGACCCTAAAAATACCCCCCCCCCCCCCCAGTGGCTACATCCTCGGCGTCCGTGCCACAGGGCCCCGGTTTGGGTCCCATCCCCATGTCCCAGTTTGGCACCATCTCCCGCCAGATTTCTCGTCACAACTCCACCACCTCCTCGGCCTCCATGGTGTCGGCCACTGGTACCTACCGCCGCGCCCCCTCCGTCTCCTCCCAGCAGCCCCACATCAACGGAGGCCCGGCCTTCCCACAGAGCTCAGGTAGGAAAACAGACAAAAGTGTTAGTGTTAACTTTTTATTGATCAGCATGAGGCTGTAAAACAAACAGCCTCTAGTCGAGGGGAAACCCGGGACGAAGGAAGACATCCTGTCAGAGGAGTAGAATTGGTTTTGGCAGGCGGGGCTCTGAGTGGCTCCCTTCTCAAAGGACCACCATCTTTCTTGGCAGAAATCACAGAGGGAGGAGGCTGCTAGGGCTGCTCGATTATGGCAAAAATAATAATCACGATTATGGTGACTGAAATTGAGATCACGATTATTTAGGACAATTTTTCTATTTATGTTGATTTTGTTTTTATTCAGTCATAAAATTGCTCCGGGCACAATCAGGACAAAAATAAATAAGAAACAAGATGATCACTAAAATAAGTCCTGATTCCCAGTATAAAAAGACCAACATACTTATAGCTCATAGTTTATGGCCCAAGGGCTATAGACCTTGGTTTAACTCATTTAAGTCTAACCAGTACAGACCCAAATACCAATATCTTGCAAATACTGACAGCAAGAATTATACAGTGGCATTTATAACAAATAAATGCAAATAAATTGATGTTCACAAAATGTTGCATAACATTTATTGAGTCATGTCAAGGTGCTGTAGGCGAGTGCACTAGCACCGTGTCCTCAGAGAGGTTAGTTATTATTTATCAGCGTGAGGAAGTTATTTCTACCTTATTTATAAACTATTTATTTACAAGTCCATCAGTTAATGTAATAATTGTCCCAACCACAGCTGCACCCCCACCCCCCAACCCGGTCTCACAGCAATCGGGGCAAGCTGCACGTGTGTTTAGCGCGCCGCACGCGCACATTTAGCCGTTTTTAGCGGCTCAGGAGTCCGCAGGTGCGATGTGTGTGTCACTCACTCTGGTTACTCCAACAGGAGAGCCGTTTCTTTAGCGACTGACACATCACTGCATCATTCCCTTTCCTAAAGTCCTGAAGAACGGTCCGGAGCACAGGCGGAGTGTTTAGCTAACCTGCAGGAAATGTCGACGACAGTTATCCAGAAAGTAGCTAAGGGTTACCAGAGATGTTTCTCAGGTGTTCGCTAGGTACTTTTAAGTTAAAAAGTCAAGAAGGGGGTCTGAGAAGCTGCTAGAAATAGCGTCAAAGTCACTAAGTTGGCAACACTGTGGGAGGAGCGCTTCATTTGCAACTCAGGGCAGCGCAAGCGGGAGGAGCAAATAATCGGCTTGTTTTGTTTTTTTTATAATCGTTCAAAACTCAGATCGTAATCGTGATTAAAATTCGATTAATTGAGCAGCCCTAGAGGCTGCCCGTCTAGGCTGAGAGGACGAAGGCTGTCATCGTCACACAGTTGGATTCTGTCTTTGGGCAGCTTTATTCAACTCTCAGCTGTGGAGAGCGTGAGGAGTTCACACGTTAGAGCTGTGGGTGGTTGTGGCTCCGCGATAACAGCAGCCTGACGAGCGAGGCATAACTACAGACGCCCTTCCATTACCGGTGATTTACGAGTCGGGCTCGGCGTGTCCGTGTGTGACATTGTGTCTCTAAAGTGGGACGGTGGACAGCTGGCTTAGAGCCTCGTCATTTCTACAGAAAAACAAACACCAGGAAAGGTTTGAATCTGTGCTAGCATGAACACATTATGACCAGGATCAGATACTGAGAAGTATGTGCAGCAAAGCTCTTTCACGTTGGAGGTTCTTGGCGGAGCTTTGTGTTTCTTTTGTCTGTATTTGAAGCCTGCTGCAGCATTTGATCTGAAACCGATGCTGATATAGAAAAGTCCTCAGACTCTGTCAATCAAACTGGTTTCATTATTGCACCCGTTGTTTTAAATGTGGATCATCTGAGAAACACGATGAGAGAGACTAGCCCGGAACCGAGATGCCTGGAGGGAGCTGAGTGGTGGCCTATGCCCCCGTCGGGGCCACAGGCATAGATGGATGGAAATCTGAGAAACATATCATTTTTTTTTAATTGCCAGGTTGTTTTCTTTGTTT